CTCCTCCTCCTCCTCCTCCTTATCCTCCTCCTTATCCTCCTCCTCCACCTTCTCCCCCCTCCTCCCCCTAGGAGTTAGAATTGAGCTTTAGAAAAATGTATGTACTGCTCAAAATGTCTACCGATTACAAAAAAGGCCGAAGTGATCAACGCTAATTTTTATAAAATGGAGCATCCATTTGAGGATGGAGGGGTTACTTCGGTGTTACTTGACTTTGTATTCTTGAATTTACGCTGAACGCCTGCAAATTAATGCTATAGTAGACCAGTGAAAGTGCAGTTTTCGGCACTTGCTTGTCTGATTATAAGCCTGAACTTCTAGGCGACAGAATTGCTTACATTTAGAAACTTCTTATGTCTTTGGCAAATCAGTAAGGAAACTACCGTTTGAATCATCAAAGAGTATTTATTAAATAAAATTGGCAGACGAAAATGTCGCCAAACTAGAACTTGTGTTACCTTTAAAGGTATGGCAGAGAGAACTTGAATAGTCTGCTCTCCGAAGATCCTAAACCTGCCACATATACCGAAATAATTGATCTAGGCAGTCTCATAGAATGGAGAAGTACATGGTTTTTCCTACATTGCTTGCTAAGTTAGGGTTGTCGTTTCCTCAAATTAAAGAGTTGGGTGTCATACGGTTAACAAATCCTCATCATTTCGTGGCCTTAGAAGACAACTCTGCAGATCTTTTCACATCTTTTTAGAGTACTTATTTAGCCTTGACCCCCTTTGGAGGAATTACTCCGCGGGGGAGTAAAATGAAATGTTTCGTGAGAATTCATTCTTTGGGATTCGGTTTTGGAAAACTTGATCTAGTGGCATGAATCCCTGGCATAACCTATGAATCAACTCTGAGCATAATGTAAATGAAGGGGGGGGGGGTGGGGTTGGTCAAGAACCCTCGCTGAATCATTTACGCTGGTGGTAGTTTAACGCGCTGAAATAACTCCAGTCGACGGAACAGCGAGCTCGGAGCTCGGTGGTAGAGCATTGGACCCAGCACCCAATGATAACAGAGTCTGAGATCGGATCCCGGATTACCCAAACTCGGACCTCGGTGCAACTGGCTGACGACAACCAACGAGTCAGATATGATCATCCCCGTTTCCCTTGTGTTTTTCGGTCCTCCTTCCTGCATCTTTGCGGGTTGCTATGCGACCGTCTGAGAGGACCCTAGCCTGAGCCCCAAGGCACAACGGAACGAACGCGCCTCCCAACTTCATCGGTGAACGGCTTTCCACGGGGGCTCTTGGCCGCTCAGCCGTAAGTGGTTTCAGTCAGCCTGGTTAAAAGATTCGAAGTTTTTGTGATGTATGAGAGTGGGGAGCATCAGCACTCCCCGAATACGCCTGGGGCTGCTGCTCAGAAATAGATAGGAAGGTGCCCTAGGAGAATTGCGACATACGCGAGTAAACTGAACTTGGAAAATAGCCAGTAGGCGATAAAGATGGCACAGTTGGATGTCAGGGAATCTCTAGAGTAAACGCCAAAACCCCATTTGAATCAAACCAGGTCGCTAAGGAGAGCGTCTGCTGACGATAAACAAGCAAAACTGCTGATAAAGGTCCCAATGGAACTAAAAACGGGCAAGCGAATGCCATAAAACTGCAAACCGCTTCAGATGAAATTAACAACTCGAAAGACCTGGACCGCTTATCCTTTGCACCACACTTGGCACATCCACCACATCTACTGGTTTGTAAATACGCAGCACCCTTTTCGTTAAGATCCACTACGTACTTACGAACACGGAGGTGCTGGCATGCATTTGGCCAAGTGGACGATTGGAATGTTGGCGCAAAAGGCCATTTTCAACGGTATTAGGAGCATGCGCTCCTGACCCTGTATGGCCCCTCCGCCCGCGTCCTTCATCGTAATCACCGGCGTTTGACCCCTCATCTAGACTCAAGTCGTCCCTCGGCTTTCATAGCAGATTTTGCGGTGAAAATTGACCATTAGACACTCTGCCAGCCAACCAAACTTACCGTCTAATCTTCAGAAAGTTGCCTGAAGGGCCTTTGTCCGAAATCTGATGAAAGGTTCTGGCGCGCAACACTTCAAAAGA